CCTCATTCCACCACCAAGATTCCTTTTGGTGTGGGGCAAAGCCCTTGGACTCTCCTAATACCTCTTTTGCTACTTTTCGGATACAACTAGCCATGGAATCCCACATTTGGCTAGCTTCCCCCTCTCTATCACACACTGGGTGATTACTTTCTCTTTGAAAATGACTTGTTTTTCTTCTTTTAGATTCTACCATCTAGTCCTTGGGCACTTCCAAGTCTTGTTCTTTTTTCTCACTCTTTTGATATGTACATCCATCACCAACAAGCGATGTTGATTAGCCACGCTCTCTCCTGGTATAACTTTGCAATCCTTACAAGCATGGAAGAAAAAATCGATAATATCGGCGAAATATCGCCGATATTATCGTTTTTTTGGAGATCCGATATTTTTTTAACTATCCAAATGATTTTCGTCAAAATATCGGGATATTATCGAAATTATCGATAATATCGCCACATAATACTAAAAAATACTTAAATATGTTGAGAAAACTCAACATATACTTCACTTGATCATAGCCCAAAGGGCGAACAAGATATGGCTTACTGAGTAGGGGAATGTGGGTTTTATAGGACAAATTGCGAGGGCAGTGAGCAAGCATGGGCGATGTGGGACTCTCCCAATAGGAGAAAATCAGAATTTCGGCCGAAAATTTACACCCACTTTAAACGGCCATAACTTTGTCAAAACTCAACGAAATCAAGCAAGACAAAAACGAAAGATGTAGCCCTCGAAGAGACGAAGAGAATGGTACCTCACACGACGTCTGAATCGTCGTGATTTGGCCGGAAAATGCCTCGAAAGTCACTGAGATCGTCTGAATCGTCGTGATTTGACACACTCCTGGCTTCCAAAATTCAATTCTTTTACTTTATATAAACTTGAAAAAACATAATCGGCATCTAAATTAAAGTTTAGTCTTATTCTTATGTGTAAGAAATTTAAAGTGTCAAATTCGGCACATTATTCTTCATCATTTTATTCACTTCCCTTTTTTTTTTTAATATCCTAAATAAAACCTCCAAATATTGTACTAATTAATTATATATAAATGATTATGGTGTGTTTAAACTTCTTTCATTAATTACTACATATTTTCTACCCTCACAATGTTTGCCAGCTCGCTATATAATCAACTTAAATCAGTTAAATCCATCATGCAATGCATTTCCTTCCAATTTTTTGTGATAAACTAATAGATAATTGACTAAATAAACATCCTACAAAGTTTCATTAAAAATTTCCAAGTTTTTCTTACAATTTCCGTGGTTTCCATGTAATTTTTATCGATATCGATATTATCCCGATATTTCCATCGATATTTCCGTGTTTTCGGACTACCGATATTTCCGATATTACCAATATTTTCTTCCTTGCTTACAAGTTATACGATCCCCTTTCCTCATTAGAAGAAAATCTATTTGTGTTTTTGACGACCCACTCTTGTAGGTGATCACATGTTCTTCTCTCTTCTTAAAGAAGGTGTTGGCTAAGAAGAGATCATATGCCATTGCAAAATCCAAGATAGCTTCCCCATCCTCGTTTCTCTCCCCAAAACCATGGCCACCATGAAAACCTCCATAGTTGCCTGTCTCCATGCCCACGTGTCCATTTAAATCTCCTCCTATAAATAACTTCTCCGTCTGAGCAATTCCTTGCACCAAGTCTCTAAGGTCTTCCCAAAATTTCTCCTTCGAACTCATATCCAACCCTACTTGAGGTGCGTACGCACTAATCACATTGATAAGTTCTTATCCTATTACAATGAATATATATAGTTTTCAACTCTTCTAGAAAAAACTTAGCCTCAGTTCACTTTAGTTAAACATAATAAGAATATGTTTGATTGGTGCCTGTATAAGCAAGAGAAAGAATGTAGACTACCTTAGACTGATCAACTTCAGAAGATTCTAATACGATAACTCCAGAAAGTGCTTCAAGAGCTAATCCTGCAAGGGGGATGGCAAGCTCAAATAGTGAGTATAAGCCACTTACAGTTACTAAATATCTATACCATGTTCCGCGAAGATGTAAAATAAATGGTAAAAGAAATATTGGTCTTCATAACAAAGTGCTAAATCCCCTCTATTTGAATAAAGATCTAAGGGGAGCAAAGGAATTTAGGTGTCTGGAGGGAAAGTTCCCACTTGACATCACCAATTGATCAGAAAAAGTTATCCATGAGAAAATATGAAGCATAACAAAAGTCATTACCAGCAGCATAGGTACTAGCCTCAGGATTATCTGAACTGAAGCGCCACCTTCCATCACTCTGGCTGAGAGACTGCAACAATATTTCACAATCATTCATAAATTCAAAAAAGAAATATATTCTTATGTGAGACATCAAAAAAAGTGAATGCAAAAGAGGGAAAATGATTGAGAGTTCAGAATCCGAACAACCCATTCACATTACAAGGAAAATAAAGTTGCGACCAGAAGCTAAGAATTATCTGACATAGCAAGTTCTGTCAGGACCTGGAGATAGCAAAAACTGAAAATATTTCATCTAAGAAATACCACTAGTTGTTGTGGGAACTACCTTGATAGAATGGAAAATCCCACCAGCATCAACAAGAAGTACATCGACTTCAGGACTTTGATCCTGCAGCAAGAAAGACAAAATACAAGAATTAGGAAAAGAATTCATAATCTAAAGACGTAGGGCCTCAAAGAAACACAGAAAAGAGGCCCTTGCACAATAGTTCAAACAATTAAAATAGTAACATTATTCAAAATATTTGTTTTTTTCCCGCATAGAGTTGATTTTATTTTCATAAATCACCATTCCTACATGTTGAATCTGCAGCCAAACTAAGACCTCAAACCAAAAAGAAGATGTAAACCTGAGTTGGAAAGTGCTGCCGAAAGGTAGATCAACAATTTACCTTAATAAGTACCAAGCTTCCAATTGAGTAGTACAACTCAAGCAATGAACTTGCACCATTGACATTAGTTTTAAGTCTTGAAGCAATGCCCTAGACAAGGAATTAAGAATTAGTCACCAACTTCATTATTCTTCCACATAACTCATAAGTAATTACTTTCACGTCGAGAACAAAGAAAAGGGTGCTAAAGACTTAACAGTACCTCAAATACTTCATTTGTAACCTCGCATTCCAAAATGCCGTTAACCTTTAAGGCGTAGAACAAATCCTTTGGGGCAGACGACGATGACCTGAGTTTTTCAACAACAGACTGACAAGTAGCGGTCCGTATATCGGACTTCTTATTAATCCCAAGAACCTCAAACGATCTTAAGGCTTCATATGCCTCTTCTAAACTGTCAGCAATTTATCGAAATCGAATAATTAAAATCAAATTTGAAATCAATATCCAAAATAAACTACTCTAATCACGCAAATGAAAACAAATTCCACCAGAATTAAACGCTAACCGCGCATTATAGTAAAATGCAGGGAAAAAACCGAAACTTTAACGTCAAATCGCAGAATTCTAAGCGGTGACGTCACATAAAAGTGAAATAAATCCCTTTTTAATTGATCAATCGGAACATCCAAAGCATTTCATTTTCTCAGAAACCAAACGGAAAATATAAAATTAAACAAAAAGATTAATCATTTCGAGGGTTGAATTACCTCCCGAACGATCCATCGACGGGGGCAAATAGCTCCGCAGCCGCGGACCGGTGAGAGTCGGAAATCGGGTGGAAGACAGAAGCAGCAGCATGGCAGATCGAAACCGCCAAAATCAGGACCAGAAATCCGCCGAGGTTTCCGGTAGCCATTCCTGCAACAGTAACGAAACCAACAGCTTCAGATACGTAAATTCACTCGCGCATTTGTGTACGAATGCGATTCGGAAGACGCTAGGGTTTCAGATCGAGAGGAGGAACGTACGAAGAGCGTTGGAGAGAGAGAGTGAGATGGTCAACGGTGTTGAACTTCCAGGGCGAGTGAGGACTGAGGGGAGAGAGTGAAGACTCTGGGGCAGCTACGAACGAGGTCGTTTTAGTACGTTTGTTTGGGCTTTTTTGGAATTTTAGGGAATGGAGACCCGCGCATGTAATTACTTTTTTTTTACTTTTTTTTTTTCTTTTTCTGTACTTTCTTGCGTATAAATTAACAATCCGGTCTTCTGATTGGTCGAGCCTTGTCTCCGCTGTCCCTGTATTTCGAGTAAATATGGAAAAATCAATTTGCCTTTACGTGATGGACACTAAGACAATGTAATTTGTGTCGCTAATATTGCAGACGGGTCGCGTGGGTCTTGTTGATATATATTTACAGGTGAGAGAATTAAAATTTGACTCAAATAAATAACAAATTTGATAGTAAATTTATTGTGTAACTTAACCGGAATAACTATAAGGAAAAAAAAGGCCCATAGACGATAATGATGAAGGGCGTTGTGTCTGGACGGAATGGACACGCGGAAGGTGCCATGTAGTGCGGAATATTCCGAATCTCATGTAAGACAACTAAATGAACCTCGACGTGCTGCAGAAGAACTGGCGTTGAGCACAGGATAGGTAATTGAGCTAGCCTGTTCGTTATGGGGAATCAATGCTCCTGGCCGAAAGAGCTTACCTCTGGCACCTGGCTTTCTCCAGCGCCCTCGTTGTTGCGGAAAAAAGCCTCAATATTTTTTTAAGCAATCTTTTGTAGAACTCGGGTGTTAAACGAGGTCGTCAGACGTTGGCTAGTACAGATGAACTCTAGCACCCGAGTTCGAATGTCTCTCTCCGTACTTTATAGCTCGTTTGGATATGTTTTTAAAATGACTGAAAAAAATTTTAGAGAAAATGTTTTTGGGTTCTGAAAGCACTTAAAAGTGCTTTCTGCAAAACACACAAGTTATGTGCTTCTTCCAAGAAACACTTTAAGTGTTTTTCCAAGATTTACTTGCATTTTTACTAAAGATTGGTTCTAAAAACATTTTTACTAAAAACACTTTTAATCATTTTAAAAGCATATCCAAAAAAACTCTTAGATTGGTTAAAATGAACTCCGAAATTGGATTAAGGTGCGATGATAGCGTCACACCAATTATATTTGCGCGGATATCAGCTCATATATACATTCAATTCAAATCCATGGTTGTATAAGTACCTTAACTTGGGTAGATAAAGGCTGAAACTAAATTCGCAACGCATATTAATAGAAATCTACGACACTCAGGAAAAACTTAACGGATAACCAGTCCACAATCATTTGTGGTGCCGCTACATACCGGTGGTAGACATTCAGTTACAGTACCGAATTCAACCAGATAACACACCTAGTAAAACTTGAAGCTCCGAGACACTTCAAAAAACGACATGAAAGCAGCGAAAACATGTGAAGTACTCAGTACTTTAGAGGTGACTGCTGGGTTGGCAACAATCCAAAGCGCTTCTTCAGAAGATACCTTTGCCTTGAATATTTGTCATCAGGGGAGAAGCGGGCTGCAGTTAATCATGGGAAAGAAATGGATTAGTAACAAAAAGAACTGGGACGCTTTTCGCACAGAACATTAAGAAGAGTAACAGACACCAGATCATCACAGGACTCACTACTTATACACACATAACACAACCATTCAGAGCACGGCATTGAGAATTCGGGAACAATCAGGCAACAGAGAAGACGTAGGTTACAGCAATCAATCTTATATTTTTGCAATTACAATAGCAACGATCGGAAAAATCTCGTGAAAGATTACAGCTCCAAGCATCTAGAAATATCCAAAGGATTCGTAGAAAACAATCAGCCGGGAACTTAGGACTACTTTTGATTTCATCCGTCTCCTACCATCGCGATAGCAGTAAACAGTGAAGATCCCATACTATATCAACAACAGGGGTACAAAACCCTCACTAGTCACAACATAAACAATCAATGCAACCACCGATTCAGACAACTATCAAAGCAGAAAAGCTTATAACAAGCTCGAAAAAAGACTCGGACATCTTACCGGGATGGGCAGATTGCGTAGCATGCCCAAGTGGTGATTCCCTCTGCATTCACAAAAGCAAATGAAAAATTCAACAAGTACCTCAAAAATCGATATGCCGGCAAGTCACTACGTGTTCTAACAACAACCCAAAACACTCATCATCATCACATACCTTGGTGGTGTACACTTTGTTGCCATTCTCGTTTATGTAGTATTGAAGATACATGCTGCCTTGCCTGCTTTTTTCTTCAACCTGCTGAAAATTAAAAGCAATTCTCCATGAAACCCTCACAGAAATCCTTATTAAAAAAAAAAACTCCGCTGAAAATTTTCCAATTGAAACCAACCCATTAACTCCAACTAGTAAAATCCCTAGAAATTTCCTCGATATTTATTTTTTGGCGTTAAAAAATCTCGAATTTTATCAAAAAATTGTTTAGTAATCTTGAAATTGGAGGTTTTAAAACATGAAAATTATGAATTATTAAGGAGAAAAGACAAGAAATTGTTCAGAAAAAACATATTAAATTCGTACCTGAGAGCTCCAAAATGTAGGCGGAGAAGGTGCTCGGCGTCCGCGCTAGGGTTTAAGGTCAGTGAAGACTCTGATTTTGCGGAGATATATGCTGGATTAGCTTCCGAAATTGCCCCTCTACTGTTGCTTATTGCCAAAACGAACCCAAACTCTTGGCCCAGATAACAATGCCCGAACTCCGACCACTTTGCTTTTGTTGAAAATTTTAAAATCTGAAGCCCAATAGGCCCAATTCAATAGTAAGAGACTGAGACGGAGAGCAATATTTTTATGAAATTGTTATTGATACTCCGAAATTTTATCAGATTTCTTGTAACTTGTTAGTTTTGTGTTACGGTCATCGGGTACTTGATTCAATTGACACCAAGTTAGATGAGCGTCCCGTAATTTCTTATAACTTGTTGGCGTTGTGGATCAGCTAAATGCGGCATGTCTTTAGTTCGATTTACTTTACAATTGAGATTGAGGTAAAAGGGTAAAAGGGTAATATCACATCATCTACCTTAGATAAAATCCAGTTGACCATTCAAGTAAACTCCATCTCTCACCTTCGAACCCACGTCTCTCTGCAAACTCTGCTCATTTGAAACCTGCCGCCCACCATTTCCCCATTACTTCGAGTTCACGTCAAAATTCATCTCAAATTCTCCCCAAATCCAAATCACCAACTCCCTCACCAAAAATTTGATCCCCAAAAGATAATAATTTTTTGTAATTTTCTCGAATTATCAGCCGCATTGCTCGATCGGAATCCGGAAAAGCTCGAAGCTTTCAGCCCCCAGTTCGATCCTGAAACGATGTCGTTTGAGGACGAGGAGGAGGCGTTCGAGCACACGCTACTCGTGGTCCGGGAGGTCGCAGTCTTCAAAATCCCGCCGCGGAGCACTTCCGGCGGATACAAGTGCGGCGAGTGGCTCCAGTCCGATAAGATCTGGTCGGGTCGGCTCCGGGTCGTGTCGTGCAAGGACCGGTGCGAGATCCGGCTGGAGGATCCGAACTCCAGCGAGCTCTTCGCCGCCTGCTTTGTCTACCCGGGCCAGCGCGAGACCTCCGTTGAGACCGTCCTCGACTCGTCGCGCTACTTCGTGCTCAAGATCGAGGACGGCACCGGGAAGCACGCCTTCATCGGGCTAGGGTTCGCGGAGCGGAACGAAGCGTTCGATTTCAACGTGGCGCTTTCGGACCACGAGAAGTACGTGAAGAGGGAGCACGAGAAGGAGAGCAACGGCGGCGAAACCAGCGACGAGGGCCACATCGATATTCATCCCGCCCTCAATCACAGATTGAAAGTACGAAAATTTTTACTTTAATTTCTCATTTTTAGTGAGCAATTGTGTTTATTTATGTCATTTTTGGGGATCTGAAGGAAGGTGAGACGATAAGGATAAATGTGAAGCCGAAGCCGACGAGTGGGGCCGGGATGTTGTCCGCTGCCGGGCTATCCGGGACGGCAAAGGCAAAACCGATTAGTTTGGGGTTGGCTCCGCCACCCGGGTCCGGGAAAGTTAGGTCGGCTCTGCCACCACCTCCCAATGACCCTGTTGCTGCTAGAATCAGCTCTGGTGGTGTCAAGTCGCCGGATAACACAAGACGTGGATCCGACCCATTATCGGATCTTTCCCAGATTGAGGTATGCAAATGTTAGTCATTGTTGTTTTGGCACTACATTTCTTGTTCAGCTGTAATTGTTGTTCATCTTGAATTTGGAATTCGAAGTTCAAAATCAAATGCAATGTGTCTTTGAGTTTCAGTAAATATTAGCTATAGCATTTGTCGTCGAACTTAGCTGACTAAAATGCTAGAATTCCACCTTCAGCATTTGCGTATTGATTTGTTTAATGCTCTAATCTAGTCTAAACTACGGAACTTGAGTGCACAGGAAGGCACAAATTGTTTGATCGTATCTGTGTTTATTTTATGGAGACCTGCAGTATCGATTGTTTGTTGATAGGCTGATCTCTGTTGTCTATGCGTATTATTGAATTTTGATTGTATCCGTGTTGTTTGAATGGTAATGTCGAAGTATGTCTTGAGTGACTTGCTGCTTCTGACCATATATGGCGCATGTTTGTCATCAATGTCCCTAACTTATTTGATACAGGCCTTACCAGCCCTTCAAATCCTGATTGACCCGAAAAGTTGGTTCCGAGTCCCATTCTGAGAACAGCAAGCTCTGAATGAGTAGCTCGCCAACATGAGTTTATGTCCACACCTTATTGTCAAGTGCGTTCAAAGTTTGAACATGTAGGAAGTGATTGCAATCAGAAAGCTTAGTTCTAGCAAATTTGGTATTGTTTTTCCTTTTGTTTCAGCTGGTTTCTTCTGCGTCCTTTGTTTTTATGTCGATCGATGCATTTCTTCAGACACAAAGGAAAAAGATGCAAACTCTGTCAGTGCTATGGACATTTTACTTATCGTTGCCTCTTGGAGAACCCTTTTTCCATAATTCTGATTACTGATGCATTTTCTTATGATTCATTTCCAGAGGAATCTTCCCCCCACGACCGGATCAGGCTCGACAAAGACAAGTGCAGCAGGATGGGCGGCTTTCTGATTGTGTGAGCATCTGTTATTATCACCGAGGTCTTCATTTGATTTTTTTTTACTTTTTTTGAGGAAAAAAAAGTGAGAAGAAGGAATATGTGAGAAAAGAAAGAAAGCGAGGTACCAAATACTTCCATATGTGTGTTTCCCCGCAATATATTTTCGAGCTTCTTTTGTTCATTGTGCCGGCTCTTTGTCAACTTACAGTTTCATGTTTTTGCTTCTATATAATAGAGAAATGTGCCTTATCTATTTCATTTGCTATTTTCTCTGTTGTTTGTTCCTGGTTGGATGTTAGTACTTGCATTATGCAATTTGACACTCTGGTCGACTAAAATAAGTTGGTTGGTCATTTTCGGTTCATGAATTTTGTAATAACAGCGCCGTCTGCCCATTGACGAAGGGGAGGAGCGCAAAAGAGAGAACGGAAGTGTGAAAATCACTCCCCTGTCGTTTTCATAGAAAACTTGAAACATATCTTGCCAAAACTCCAAGTAATTGTCCTTTTCTTTACTGTATAAGGTGGTTTTCGTTGTGGCCTCCTTTCCAGTTTCCACTAGAGTTGAGGGATAATTATCTCAGAGTGCCTTGCAGGTTACTACTAGAATAAAAGTCCATAATTTTTCCATGGCTCTTTTTCACAGAACAATATTCTAGACTATTTCAATTTACGGAAGAAATATTCAAACTCGAAACCTGACTAGTTGACCTAACATTGTTGAATGGAATGAGTAAATTATCAACAATAACAACAAACCCTTATCCCACTAAATGGGGTCGGTTGTATGAATTCTAGAACGCTACTGTACTAAGTGGAACGACTAAATTATCAGAACTCTACAAATTACTGTACAGATAAAATGTATCTAATCAGTGTGGGTTTGATCAAAACCTTTGCCCTACAAAAGATATTACCAATGGTAAAGGATGAAATTAATCAGCACTTTCGAGCGATGAACTGACGGTTTGACGAATCACTACTTCAGGCTGCACTCCGCCTAAGTTCTGAGCCGTCCTAGAAGTTCCAACATCGAAGAATTTTGCTATGTTAAACTGATGCTCAATTCCGGTTTCCACGGCTCTTTCTTGGTTTCCTCGAATTTTTGCCAGTAATTCAGCAGAAGATAATGCCCTTCCAGCAGGTGCCCCAGCCACAAAGCCATCTGTGCTGCTGCTGGGGCCTTCGTCTGACCGTTTGGTATTCTTGATCAACTGGGAATTCACAGCAGACCCAAATTTCCCACGGACAGCTGATGATGCACCTGCCATTCCTGATTTCCCAGTCCATGTGGGGACAGACATACCGTCACGGCTTCGAAGCATCCGTGACTAGCGCAACGCTTCCGCTGCTCTTTGTGCAACTCAGGAAGCTTGCTCATCAAGCTTCATCTTCTCTTCATCATGGTCATTCATGATTACATCATGGTTCATAGCAATAAAAATGTCGTACCCAGTGCACAAGGCTCCCGCTTTACGCAGGGTCTGGGAGAGGTGAATGTCGGCTAGCCTTACCCCCATTTATGGAGAGGCTAGCCTTCATCATGGTTCATAGCAATCTGAAGTCAAAATTTGAACAGCATGTAAAATAATAAATAACAGGAACAGGAAGAAACCAAACAATTTCTTGATTGTTTCCGACAAAAGTAATAACAAGTTTATTTCAATTTAAGTTCCACAGCTGTAGATAAATCCTAACATGCCCACAGTTACAGTACTATAAAAAAAAATGTGAATACGGTAAACAAAGTGAAGAAACTTACGTGTATCCCTTGGGCGTCAAAAAGGCACCTCAAAAATTTTGTCTCTTCATCTACTTCACCGTTACTGGTAAGGCTAGCCGACATTCACCTCTCCCAGACCCTGCGTAAAGCGGGAGCCTTGTGCACTGGGTACGACAAATCTACTTCACCGTTACTCTGGTCAGCCTTTTCTTTCCCATTCCTCCTGGATGGTCCAGCCTCTGAGTTATTTGCCTCGTCAGCCACAGCACCATTGGTAGACAGTACAGAACCTCTCTGAGATTCTTGCTTTCCGATTATCATTTGCGCACCATGCGTTGGCTTTCAGATAATTTACCGAACAGATGGCTGTTTCGGTAGACAATTCTCTCTTCGTCACTTGAGAAATGATCCTTCATGTCTTAATTTAAAGAACTTCTCTCTGTGGGTTCTTCAATATCAATTGGTAGGAATGCTTGTAAATTTGTCTATGTTACCTCTCCTCTATGGTTCCACGGGTGATCAGTCTATATATAGTTACATCCCTCTTCTGACCAATACGCCAAGCACGCTCCAAAAACACCCAGATTACAAGGTTTAACAAGGCACAAATCAACTATTCTAAACAAGGTTTAACGAAAATCCTGTAGGTATTACTTCAATAAGAAATATAATAGAAGGATCCATCCTCCTAAAATGTTCATAATTTTGCAAGGGGGACATATCTATGATTCTATCGTACAATTTTACAGAGGAGAAGACAAGTTTCCAAGTTCAAACATTTGCATCAAACTGAAAACTAGAAGAATAGTAAGTCCACCATCATATACCTGCATGTCAGTTGAAGGGTTCCAGTTGGGATCAAAGATGATCACCCTATTTGCACCTGTCAGATTTGTTCCTAAACCACCCACCTTAGTTGTTAAAAGGAAAACAACCACATCACTTGAGTTGTTAAATTCATCTATTAAGGCCATCCTCTGTTTGATGGGAGTAAGACAATCCATCCTCCAGTAACTATAACCATCAGCAACCAGAAAACTTTCAATAATGTCAAGCATTTGCTGAGTTTGCGAAAAAAAGAAGAACACGATGCCCTTGATCCTTTCCAAACTTTAAGCACTTGTGAAACCACATTTAATTTCCCACTGCGTTCTAGGGTAACATGCGGATACTCATCATCATCATCTACATCTCCAACATCATCTTGGTTTTCTTCTTCACAGCTGGGAGTGTCGTCTGCAAGAAAAATAACACGTCTCATTACTTTGCAGATTTCTATTGTCAAGCAAGGAAAATAGATATTAAACAACAAACTTGATAATATCTTGTAAAGAATAGATATACACTATTAAAACAACTTCTGTTTTACAAAACACTTAACTGTACCATACATCTGCCTAACACCACCATAAGCAGTGACAACACTGAACGTACCACTTTCATGCAAATTATTTTCCTCAAAAGAAATGTGCTTTCTCTTGGGAGCAGCCTCTCCATAAATGGGGGTAAGGCTAGCCGACATTCACCTCTCCCAGACCCTGCGTAAAGCGGGAGCCTTGTGCACTGGGTACGACCTTTTTTAAAAGAAATGTGCTTTCTCCATCTTTTGTCAGGCAAAGGACGCTTCCTTTTCTTTCCTGAACTTTTATTCCTCTGTGTACCATTTTCTAAGGATTGAGGAATTTTAACGGTTTCCTTGCCTCTAAAAAGGATAAGTGGGTGGATCAAACTTTGGTAGAGTTTCTGGATCAAGCAGCTTTGTAGTGGGCGAGCCATTGAGCAGCCTCTGAAAGCGGACTGCACTGCTCTAGCAACACTGCGCTGAAACAAAAAATCATCACTCCTGCCTTCTTCTGCAGACCACTACCACCTCCATGGCCCTGCTTTCAATTTGCGCCAAGCTTTAGGCTTATGGAAAGAGTCAAAAATTCCTTTCCGAACTAATTCATCCCTTTCCTGGCATATCAAAAGATCAACTTTGATATCCTTGTTATTAGTTAATCCATCTTACACATCAAAATTACAAAGCATCAACAAACCTGCAGATGCTGCATCCACCACATTCTGAGGGCATACGACAGTTCTGTAATCATCCAACACCTCTATCAATACCATGATGCCAAAGGGGATATGGGTACAATTTTCTCTGTTCTGCTTGTTAATCCTTTTTCCGGATTCTCCTGACCTTGTGTAGTCATACTTCACTCTTTAGGCGCTGCAGAGCCCAATTGCTCTCTATAGACAGTATCTAATATAGACTGTCTTGGTGCGCACAGAGATACACAGCCGTTACCACGGATAGGGTAACTTATTATCCCTTGTGCACTAATATGTTCCGAGAGAGCCTCTCCTTTCTCATGCTCGACTCACCTTTGCCTTTCTTTAGACTTCTCAATTAGCGGTGTCAGATAGCTCAGTGGCGGCATGACACAAATGAAGATGAGTATGGATAAATTCTCACAGGTAATATTCCACGGGGCTCCTGTTTACGACCATTCGGACTTACCCCTAGAGTTATGGACCCTTTCCGGATTTGTTCAATTCAACCGAGTTATCACGATCAGTCTTCTATAGCTCACCATCTTCTCTCCACTCATCACACCATTTGTCGCTTTCTTTGGTTTACTCAGCTTGGATATACAGGTTAGACTTCACACGTAGCAAATCCGATCTCTCTCAAACTCTATACCTTGAGACCCACAAATTGTTATCATTCAAAGCATTACTTGACCTTATGCGACATGCCACCAATTAGCGTATAACACTTTCCCACTTCTCAAGTCGTTCCTCCTCCTCATTAACTACTCTCTTCAACTTCACTTTACATTACTTACCCAATAATCTATAGCCAAAGGGTAGCCATTGGTATGGCTAACCTAGCAATGTTTCTATACCCAAAACTATACTCACTATTATCTTTGTTAATACCTACTCTATTCCTATTTGTTGAGATCACAAGGATTTAAACTGGATTCCATCACTTTCCCTATGGAGAACCGCGCACTCTACTTTTCGCCGGAACAGCTCTATTTGAAAACACTGAGGTTTGATTTCGACCGGTACATCTACATCGCAATGCATATATAATCCAAATTAAACCACCGCAATCGAATTCTCATGGCCTGCAAAATTTCCACACTACACCTTCATATGATAAAACATAATGCTCCTCTCGATTCATCCTCCCAGAGCGCACTTCTGCACACTTGCCGGTTGTCACTGACTCACTTTCAAAGACTCTGAGTAATTGAGCAAATTACCTCGCATCCTTCACCGCCCGGTTTCCACTCCATGCTAATTGCAAAATGGGCTGAAAATTTAGGGCAATTTTTTTGTATCGGTCGAAATAATCCTTTAATTTCCATATTTTGTATAAGACAACAGCATTTAGACCCATGCATAAATCAGTGAACTCTTCTATGGTCAGAATAGAAAATCCCAAAACCACATTCAAACACATTAGGCACATATTCACATCAGGTTAAATTCGCATATACAGATAAACTCTATACGTTGACAAGAATTGGTTCAGGATCATTATAATGGTTCACGGAGGCCAAGCGCTGAATACTACTCTCTTCTCTCTTCTCTCCTTCGTTTTTTCTCTTCTAAGTTGCTTGAGAGGGTTTGCTAGCTATCTATAGAATACGCGTTTCTGGACTTTTGTTTCTATGGCGGGCGCGCAGCGGTCAACACGATCATTAACCTGCGCAACACTCTTCCCGTCGTCTCCGAATACGTTGAATTCTTCCGAAGGCGGCGGTTCTCCTCACACTCGGTATTTCGCGGCAAAGTTGGCGCTTGTTAAACTTCATTCGTGGTCAGAGAGAGGAGATATGTCTACTTAACCAATCTGCACTGTCTAATATTGACCACTGAATCATGTCGTTGCGCATAGTAACTTTCAAATTTTAATATAAAGATACTTAACGGGTGTATGTTACAACAGTCTCCATCCCTTCCCTTGGTGGAGTTCTAACGTACCTTAACCTCGCGCCTAAAAGATAACCGCTCCAACTCTTTTCTAGGTAATATTCCGTGAGAGGTGGTTAGTGAGATTACTAAAAATAACCCAAATCATAGATCAGTGTGCGGTGCAATCTTCTTTCAAGAAGTTGGGAAACACTACAACGCAGGTGGGACTTTACAGGGTTGGACATTTTCCACTCTAAATCTCATAATCAACAAGCTAGGTAGGTATTATTCTTTTGAGCGTTTTAAACAGTTACGGGACCAGCCGCTAAAGTTGGGTTGGCCAACGGGGGATAAAAATAAGCACCTTACCAAACACTTTTGAGCAACATGGAAAAAATTATAAATACACCGATTTAGGGTCTTTCACAGTTTTTCACTTGGACATTGAAGCAGCTAAAACTACGCTCTGGTTTGCGTCTCTTTTGTCATCCAAAATTGTCTTCCATTTTTTTTATGATTTCACAAATTACAAATTTCGGGATTAATTCACGGTAAAGATACCAATTTCCATAAGACAACTAAACAAAACACACAAGCTAGAAATAGCATATACTTCGATTAGTCCCCCGTCACACTCGTGATTTAGGACCCTTATTTTGAGTTGCCAACTAGGTAAGAATCCAGGTCGACGTGCATATAAACTGGGATTTATCATATCATACACCAACTTGCAGGGTTTTATAGGAAGGCTCTGCTTTGAGCCTTTTGCACCCTTATTTTGAGCCACTTAGATTGACTAGTCTATATTGTATATCTATAAAAAGATAATAGAAAGTAGCATCTACACACAACTCAAAAAGATAAGGGAGAAAGCTAATTAAACTTTAATTTTTATGTGGTGGTTTGGTGAATCCATTTTCTCTTCGCTTAGAATTGTTCCGAAGTACATAATAGGTTTTACGGAGATATCTCAGTGGTGTTTCTGAGTTCGTAAGATGACTTCATCGGACTCTACAGAATAACCAATGATAAGTCAGCCACAATTTGAAATGAGATCATTGCAGACCCAGAATCCTGCGCTTGTTCCATCCTAGGCATATATGAATAAAAAGAGGTGAATAACCACATGTAATATCCCGATGTATTAGAGAGCAGAAAATAATAATAATATTCGAGGATTAGATAGGAATTGGATAAGACACTATTTCACACAAAGTTATTTTTGGTTTATACGAACATTATGCAGACTGTAACAGAATACAACGTGTTTGTGCAATTATTAAAAAGTTTGTGAGGAAGAGTTTATTATGGTATAGCACTATTTTAACACATTAATTTTCATTTTCAAATACTCAAGTGTTGATCCATTTCCGATATCTCCAAGAACAAGGAAAGCACACTTACAGGGACAGAGACATATAGCTTCTTATAATAGAAAAAGAAGTAAAGTGCTCAAATTGTGTAAGAAATTTTATTTTGAAGAACTTCTTAATTACACAACAACATAAACCTTATATCATTCCAAACAAAATTACCACAACATGAACCATACGTGTAGCTAATTTGTCAGTCCTAGGAAAGGACACCCCGAAAAAAGTCGTCGATGCATCTGATATTAACGGTTTTTCTCGCCGGAGCCCACGAAACACCATAGACATAGACCGTTTTTAAGTAGAGCAAGCCGTCCGCAAGAAGGAGTTTTGTTACGTCACACTATACATTCGCGATATTCACACTTGATTCGGGAATTATTCGACAGATAAAATTTTGAGGTCAACAAGCGATCACTTAGTCTGTGTTCAGAAGTGATAATTGTAGAGTCGTGATACAGTATTAAATCTCTTAGTTCTCTGCAACGAGACTTCCTCCCGGCTCTTTCGGACGCTCATATTCTCCTTGCCAAACTGGGGAGATCCCTATAACCAAGTTCAACAAAATTTACCGCCCACTTTCGTCCCACGAGGTCGCGTGACCCTCCATCCTCCCTCCCTACGCGAATAACCTCTCCACGCCTGCGCCACAAAGCTCTCTACGCTCGAGACATGATCTTCTCCTACGTATCCGTTCTTCAAGACTCCATCTCTTCTCTCATTCTCCCCCTCTCTCTGCCACAGGACTGCATCCTCACACATCAAACAACCGAGTTTATAGCATTTGCACTTAAAACGACACACTATGCCTCCGATCTACACACCTCAGCAATATCACAAACATACTTAAATGCGACTGCGGCACAGGTTCCCAATATAAAAGATCTATCACTGGCGTCAACCCTCTTAACTCCCAATAGCATCTTCGTGTAAGCTACACCAGGGCCACTTCTTCGCGCGATTCTGTAGGAGCAACCGGTTCAACTCTCACGGTTCTTCTGCTGCGTATCCCATATGGGTGTCGGCGAGCCGCGCTAAAGTACTCTTGAAGAGGAATAGTAGGCACACATCCACTAGACCGACTTGCAATATTACTCTACCAAAACCAGAGCAGATATCAGGACCATTACTGAATCCTGCAACTTCCGATCTCGGCCAAAAGGGAAAGCTTCTGAGCACGCATTGTCGTCTTGTGCGCATGTCTAATTTGAGACCGGCGCGAAATAGAGAAGGAGAGTATTGCAATGAACACGCGAAGCCATACAGAATACCATGTATAGACGAGAGACGACGAGAGAGAGAGAAAGAAAGACAACGTGAAAAGAAAGTATGGTAAAATTGTGGACCGAACAATTTAATGGGGAGAAATTCTTGGGAGACAAGTGGGCCGTATGATTTATATATAT